CCCAGGGGGCCCCCATGGGGGCCCCCCGGGGCCCCCCCCGCTCTCTCCCCCCCCTTCACTGGCGGGGGCCCCCCTCTCTGGCTCTCCTCCTCTCTCAGGGGGCCCCCCGCTTCAGGGGGCCCCCCCTCTACCCGGGGCCCCCCCGTTAGGTGGTGATGGTTCTCCTTTGTCTGTTGCTGCTGGTGGTGGTGGTGATGCTGCTGCTGCTGCTGCTGCTGCTGGTGTATCGCCATCTCTATGTTCATCAGCTGTGGGTTGTGGTGTTGTTGATGGTGGGGTTGTTGATGGTGGGGTATCATCATCATCACCATCATCATCATCAGCAGCAGCAGCAGCAGCAGCAGCAGCAGCTGCTGCTGCTGCTGCTGCTGCTGCTGCTGCTGATGGGGGTGTTTCTCCCCTGATAGCCAGCGGGTGTGGGGGGGTTAGTATGAGCATAGATGGGGGCTGTATGGGCCTTATAGAAAACAACAACAACCCCACCGCCCCCACCACCAGCAGCAGCAGCACGATTGCTGCTGCTGCTCCTGCAGCAGCAGCAGCACCAGCAGCAGCAGCAGCAGCAGCAGCAGCAGCAGGTGGAGGAAAGCAGCAGCAACCGAAGCAGAGCAGCAGCAAGTCTGGTTCTAAGAGCAGCAGAACCAGCACCACAACCACCACGACAACCACAGCCACAACAACCATCACCAGCAGCAGCAGCAACAGCAGCAGCAGCAGCAGCAGCAGCAGCAGCAGTATAAATAAATACAGCAGCAGCAACGGGCTAGATAAATATATTCAGTGGCTGGATGCTATCCACACTGCATGCACAAAGCTAGACGAACTCTGCAGCAAACTAGATATACACTTCCCCAACGCAACAAAGCAATGGGAGGAGACAACCCCAGGCATCAGGGGGGCCCGTTGTTTGTTTTATAGGGGTGGTGGGGGCCCCCATAGTACGAGTAGTGTTCTTGCTGCTGATGATGCTGCTGCTGCTGCTGCTGCTGCTGATGCTAGAGCTGTTGCTGCAGCAGATATACATCAGCAGCAAATGCTGCAGCAGCAACAACTTGTTATGCATCAGGCTGCTGATGAAATCTATCATACTTCTACGTCTAGAAAGAGACAAAGAAGAGAAGCAGCAGCAACAGCTTACTGGGAGATTATACTGCTGCTGCAGCAGGGGCTGGGTTGTCTATGTGTAGTGGTGCTGCTGCTGCTGCTGCTGATGGTCTGCTGCAGCATGTGGGTGGTGTTTCTGTTGGTGGGGTTGTTGTTGGTGGTGATGGTGGGTGTTTATCTGGGTTGTATAGCATGCATGGCGGTGCAGCAGGAAGCAGCAGCAACAGCAGCAACAGCAGCAGCAGCAGCAGCAGCAACAACAGCAACTGCGCAGCAACAGCAGCAGCAACAGCAGCAAACAAATGTATGATATTAGGAGTAAATACAAACCCTTGTTTAGGGGACGATCTAAATTATATAAACAGCAGCAGCAACGGTGGTGGTGTATATTCAGGTGTACACCATACAAGCAGCAACAACAGCAACAACAACAGCAGCAACAGCAGCAGCAGCAGCAGCAGTATCCTCCTAAGCAGTGGTCCCGTATCAATCCCCTCCTCCCCACCCACGAATAATATAAATAATATAAATAATATAAACACAAATATAAATAATATAAATAATATAAACAGCGGAGAGTATGAGTACTTACTAGACTGCCCAGAACAAGAGGCGCCTAACCCCAACAACCCACTAGACTTAAAGTGTGACGTTGCTGGTGTTTATTGGGATAAGAGAAGTTGGATTGCTAGTTGGTATGAGGGAGGAAAAAGATATTATAAATCTTTTTCAGCAAAAACACACG